CTTCTAAATCTTGTAGGCTGTTCGTTCTCTCTCTCTCCCTCTTTCTCTCTCTCTCTCTCTCTCTCTCTCTCTCTCACACACACACACACACACACACACGCGCGTGTGCGCATGCACACTCTCTTGCCCTTTTGTGCTCTTCTATGTTTGTTCTCTTGAACTTTCTTCCTTGCTCCACTCTATTCTCTACTATAAAGCTCAGACTGACTTCAAATTCATTAGGAGCCCAGGATGGCCTTGAACTCGCGCTCCTCCAAGGCTACACTCTCAAGTGCTAGGATAGGATTATAGGCATGCTCAGTGACACCCTATTTAAGGCATGTTTTCCTTAGCACTGTCTTGGTACCTTCCTTCTTTTGATTCACCAGTCAACTTACCATCTAACTACATCTTTTCTCTCCAACTACGCAAGAAAAAGGAAGCCATTCTTCTAAATCTCTGGGTTTAATAAGCTGTATGTTACATAGATATTTAATGAATATCTGCTGGTTAACAAAAGAACTGGAAGATAGGAATAACATCTGTGCTGTAAACTGAACGTATCAGTGTTGGGGAATATTATTTTAAGGTATGTGACTTTTGTTTATGCTGCATTTGTTTAACTCTGTGAAGCTGTGGTTTTTAAACACCTGGTGGTCTAATAAAGAGCAGAATGGCCAATAGCAAGGCAGGAGCAAGGATAGGCAGGATTAGCAGGTAGAGTATAAATAGAAGGAGAATCAAGGCAAAAGAGGAGCGATGGGAGAACAAGGAGAGGAGGATGCTGGGAGCCAGTCATGGAGTAAGAGTGAAAGTAAGATGTAGAAGAAAAGCCGGGCGGTGGTGGCGCACGCCTTTAATCCCAGCACTCGGGAGGCAGAGGCAGGCGGATCTCTGTGAGTTCGAGGCCAGCCTGGTCTACAGAGCTAGCTAGTTCCAGGACAGGCTCCAAAGCTACAGAGAAACCCTGTCCCGAAAAACCAAAAAAAAAAAAAAAAAAAAAAAAAAAAAAAAAAAAAAAAAAAAAAAAGATACAGAAGAAAAGGAAAAAACCCAGAGGCAAAAGGTAGTTGGGGATGACTAAGAAAAGCTGGCTAGCAATAAGCCAAGCTAAGGCCAGTCATTTTTAATTAATAATAAGTCTCCGTGTGTATTTATTTGGGAGCTGGGTGGTGGGTCCCTCAAAAAGAGTAAAGAAGTAAAACATCAAACAACATTACCAGTGTTATTGTTATGTGTCAAGGACAGCATTTGACTCTGAGCATACAGAGATCTGCACCACAGTAGGACAAATTACAACTGGTTCTACTCCCATGGGCACAGCCCGACTCCTCCAACTCCTGCTACAATGTGAGGTTCCCTGAGTTCTGCTTTTAAGGTTCGGATTCTTGAGCCATTCCGGTTCTCTACTCTCAAGATGTGAGCTCAGCTGTTCCTGTAGCCTTGAATCTACCTGTTGCCACACTTCCATGCCACAATGATGATGGACTCTTAATCCCTCTGGAAATGTAAGCCCAAATAAACCCTACCGTCCCCAAATTGCTTTTGGGCATGGTGTTCATCACACAGCAGAAAGTTACTACAATACTATTCTATTTCCAAAGGCATCCCACTGCATCTAGGAGAGCTTTGTTCATCTAAAAATGATTTCTAATGGCCTTTCAGCTTTTGACACAAACTCCTCCATGATCTCGGAGGTTTTATGATTTTTCACATTTATTCGGCTTATTCACGAAAATAAAGAAACGTATCATGTGTCTCTTTCATTTAAAGGAACCCAGCCATTAACTACAGAAAGGAGAAATAAGAAAAAATATGATTCACACTGCCAGGGTACTCCATCCAACTAGGTTCCACAGGAGCACAGACTGGGAAATGGATACCTGCTGTCCCTTTGGTAACTCTCAGCTCATGCATGCCCCTGGAACGGCAACTGACTTCATCTGTGCCAACAGGAATAAACAGCACTCTGCTCCAATGTGGAGCAAAAGCCGGCTGCACAGTGATTCTTGTTTTTTTGATTTTTGTTTGTTTGTTTGTTTTTGAGACAGGGTTTCTCTGTAGCTTTGGAGCCTGTCCTGGAACTCCCTTTGTAGACCAGGCTGGCCTCGAACTCACAGAGATCCGCCTGCCTCTGCCTCCCGAGTGCTGGGATTAAAGGCGTGCGCCATCACCGTCCTGTGGTTCTTAAGAGCACATGCCAGTCTTCCTGGGATGCCTCAAAGGTACTCAGTTGGGGAAGCCATTCCAATCATGTGACTTTAGTGGTGACACCAACCATGTGCACGTGAACCTAGCCAAAAGAGTGTGCACAGGACGTCTGTCTCCAATCTGGCCTGAATCAAGGTCCTTCCAGGAACACGTAAATGCTGTAGGCAAGAGTTTTCTCTCAACTCAGGTACACCAGCTTGGAGGGGCCGACAGGAGCCTGTTTTTTACAGAACAGAATGAGTTCGGGACAGAGACTTTGGAGGTTCTTTGTGAAGGGGTAGAGGTATACTCATTCAGTGGTGTAATGACACCCTACTGTGTCCCGGGTTCATAAACTAATAAATCTCTTTTGGTTTACGTGAATTTGAATTGATTTCCTGACATAGAAAGAGGCATAACTTTGAAAAATATAATTGTTACCAACGTAAGCCTAAGAAGTCATTAACAGTGAGGGGTCCAGGATAGGGCTACAGCTGCTGACTCAAACCCACAATGTGCTTACGATGCCAGATGCAGTGAAGCAGCCCAAACGATAACTCAGTCCCATCTAAAGGAGAGCAGTCGGGCCTCATAAGTATACACAAGGGTGACTGGGAACTGTGGGTCAAGAAAAGATGCCATCTAAGGTCTTTGAAATCTAGTAAACAATCAAAAGTTAAAGGTAGTTCACACTGGATCGGGAGGACAGTTCAGTCAGTACAATGCCTGCCACGCAAGCGTGATGACCTGAGTTTGGTGATTTGATGACGTCTGTCATTAACCTGTGGCCCACATCTGCAATCCCAGCACTGGGGAGGGGTAACAGGCAGATCCCTGGGGCCCAGTGACCTGTCAGCCCAGCCTACCCGGCAGGCTGGGGTCTCGAAAGCAGGATGGGAGGCCGTCAAGATGCCTCAGTGGGAAAACACTTCTGTGCAAGCCTGGCCGCCTAAATCTCATTCCTGCATTAAGGTGGGAGGAGAGAATCCCACAAAGTTATGGTCTGACCTCCACATGTACGCCCTGGAAGACACACAAAAGAATAACTAAATTTAAACTTTTATTAAAAACAAAAAAAGTAAGTCTGGGAAAATGGCTCAGTAATATGATGCACAGATATGGGGGCCTGAGTTTGATACCCCAAGTCCTATATTTAAAAGCTGCACATGGTGGCAGGAGCCTGCAATGCCAGCGCTGGAGAGATGGAGACACGAGGATCCCTGAGGCTGGCTAGCTCGCACTTCTAACTGAATCAGCAAGCTATGCATTGGGCAAGAGGTCTTGTCTCAAAAAGAAAATAGAGGGTATGAGAGAGATGGCTGCGCGATTTGGATGAAAGCTAGCCAGAGATGGCCCCAAAAGTACACTGGTCTCACAGTAAGAGGTTGGTCCCCGCGCCAACCATGTGGCTCCCAACAGCTTGTAATTCCAGCTCCAGGGTGGTGGAAACCTCTTCTGGGCTCCAACGTCAACCTCTGGCTTCTACATGCACATAGACACACATGAACACTCACACAGTCACAAAAAGGCAGACATGAGAGTGCACACCGTGCGCGCACACACACACGCGCACGCGCGCGCGCACACACACACACACACACACACACACACACACACACACACACAAAGGCCTTACTTCTTCCATCACATGGCTAAAATGTCGACGGAATAGTGGGGTAAAGCTGAGAGTCACCAACAGTCCTCCAAATGCTGCGAGACCGAAAGCACTCACCGGCTGCCAACAGTCCAATTACAAAGGAAACCTCTAAAGAAAATAATCAGCATCTCATTCTGTTCGAGGTCTGTAAAGAATTTTCTCACATAACTCAGTCACTTCAACCATACAAAGCCCAACAGTTCAAACAAAACTCCATTTATCTTTATTGTGTATTCTACAAACCAGGTCAGCTATTGCCAGATGATTCCATACTTTCCTGCTTAAATGTCAACATGAGCAAACCCATGACTTAAACACATGTGGGTCCCCCATCCTCGTCTATATTGGAAGCACTTCAAACACAGAAGTGTAACACAAACCCACACACCACGACGTGTAATTTTCTCCCAAACAGAGACACCTGGAATAGAGTTAGCAGCGCAAGGCAACATCTGTGCTTACATTACTTGGCGCTTTGGGGGGCTGGGTAGGGGATGAGGGGTGCAGTAGAGTGGGCAGTTCAGTCACTAGCAATCCGGGCAAACACAGCCCCGCCTACTTAGAGAAGGCTCGGTATCCACTCCGAATAAGCCAGCACAATCCTACTTTCTTCGAAACACGCCCACTTAGTGCACCCAAAGTCTGGATTCCTGCGTCTTTCTGTCCCCGAGTGCCACACCTGCACAGCTAGCCAAGGTACAAGGGTGCCCCCAACTTCCACCCTGTGGCCCTCGGGCTGGGGCACACAGGCAGGAGGCGAGGAGGAACCGGCCCCACAGGCAGCACATCAGTACTATCAGTACTACGGGGTGAGCGCCTCCATCCCGAGCGGCGTGGGAGGGACGGCATCCACCTCCCAGCCGCGGTGCCGGGTGGGCGCGCCTGTCCCGCAGCCTCGCAGACTCAGTCCCAGGCCAGCCCGCGGTGACCGCAGGGTCTCCGGGAGCCACCAAGGCGCAGGACCGGTCTGCGCACTCCTGCTGCGCCCCGCCCCTCCCCGCTCGGGGACACGCGTTACCTGAGCCTGCGTCCGCCTCGTCGGGACCCCGGCCCACGTGACCCCGCGAGGGCAGCCCACGCACGCGCAGTCTCTGCTGCTCGCCGGCGCGCTTCCGCTCTCTCCGCGACCGACGCCAGGCGCTGGGCGGTGCGAGCCTGTGCGCCACGCCCTCCATAAAGGGAGACTGTCACCGGCGCCGGTGGGGCCTCCGAGCTGGAACACAGGCTAGTCAACAGAGGTCCTCAGAGGGGAGAGGAGCGTCCCTTTCAACCCTGATCAGTGAGTTCACCTGACCTCCCAGAAACTGACCCCAAAACCGGGTACCGTGGCTTATGCCTGCGGTTCTCGCACGCAGGAGCTTGAGGCAGAAGGATCACCGTGAGTTCAAGCTAGCCTAGGATACAAAGTGAGGCCTGTTTCAGATTCTATGGGCTGACGGTCGGACGGACAGATGGACGGATGGATGGTGCATGGGGAGTTGGGAATAGAGTTGGAATTAATTTCACTGGATTTGGTAGTATCTGCTAATTAATTTTCTTATTAATTAATTAATTAAAAGGCAAACTCAGAACCCAGAACTGTCAGTTTTAGTGGATAGTTATTGGGGAAAGAGGAAGCATTGATTTTGCAAATAAGATAAGCATGGATACTAAAAACTGTTATTTTTCAATTTATCTTTTTTTAATCAGTGTTTTGCCTGTATGTGTGTCTGTGTGATGGTGTTGGATCCTGGAGTCACAGACAGCTGTGATCTGCCAGGTGGGTGCTGGGAATTGAACCCAGGTCCAGAAGAGCAGTCAGTTCTCTTAACCACCAAGCCATGACTCCAGCCCCCTCGTTTACCATTTTAAAAAGTTCATCTTACCATCAAACATCCAGGGTGGGTCACATTATCAAACAGAGAAGGCATCTTCATGGTTTTGCTAATTTGCTACTGGAAAAAGATGGAAAACTTTCAGGACAGCTTGGAGTTTTACAGTTGCCCTGTGTCATTAACCCCAGCAGGCAGGCAGTGTGCTTGATGGACCTGTCTGTCATCCAGAAATTAGGAGGAAGAGTGGAGGAAGATGCCTCGGGAGGAGTTACAGAAAACGCCCAGGATGGCTGGCATCACTATACTCCTACACCTGGGTTCGATGCCTGGATCAGATCCAGAAGTGGGAAAGACAAAGAACTGTCCTGTCGGTACTTTGGGGCTGAGAACTTGGCAGGCTGATGACAGTGATATGAAGAAATTATAGGGGTGTTTGGGATCATGATGGAGGAAAATAGTCAACACCTTAGCCAGAAAATGGGACTAATGTAGACAGGAGCCCAAGAGACTGCCTGAGGGGAAGTGGGACCAGTTACAACCCGGGGTGAGTTTAGGGACCAGTGCTGGCCTAATGTCGTCAGGGTACCCACAGTTACTCTCAAACATCGTACATTGTCACCCACAGAAACACATTTCAGCCGTGACTAAGCATGTGCCCTGTGACAGGAGCCTGTCTAAAGCAGGGTAGAGAGAGTAGTGACACCAGAGCCCTGAGTGAGCATGGAGTTATGGGAGATGAAAACAGGGAAGGTAATGTTAGTGAGCCTTTTCAAAAAAACATTTCCAAGTTACATATGATCTGTCATATGGGTGCTGGGAATTGAACCCAGGACCTCTGGAAGAGAAGTCAGTTCTCTTAACCACTGAGCCATCTCTCCAGCCCCCTAGTTTACTGTTTTAAAAAGTTCATCATGACAGTAATGCAGCTGTTCTGGATAACTCCAGAAAGCAAGCCTACGACTTTGGGTGGATCTACCTCTGAAACTCCTTCAGTGTAACAACCTTTCCTGTGCCCTTGTTCACAGTGTGGACCAGTTGGAACAGTGTCACATGCTTGTCTGTCCAGTGCTACCTAGCTAAAAATAAAAATAGTGGATGCTTATTATAGAAAGCTTGGAAAATCCAGGAAATGTTTAAAAATAAAAACTACCCATATTTCTCTCTGGGGCCTACTTTTATTAAGTCTTTGTCTTTGGATAATTATTTTTGAATCATTTTTTATTTTGGTTTAGAGGAGAATTAGCAGTAAAATTTTTATTTTTATTTTTCACTTTTATTTGTTCTTTGACATATGTAGAATACATTCTAACTGTTCCCAGCCAACCTCCCCACCAGTCCCTTTCCCAGACTCATGACTTCTTAAAGACTTTTTTAATTTTTATTTTATGCATATGAATGTTTGCCTGTGTGTATGTGTGTGCACCACGTGCATGTCAGATGCCTTTGGCCACGCAGATGGTTGTGAACCACCATGTAGATGCTGGGTACAGAACCTGGGCCCTCTGCAAGAGCAACACATGCTCTTAACCACAGATGCCACATCCCTCCAACCCAAGTTTTTTTTTTTAAAAATATTTATTTATTTATTTATTATGTATACAATATTCTGTCTGTGTGTATCTCTGCAGGCCAGAAGAGGGCACCAGACCTCTTTACAGATGGTTGTGAGCCACCATGTGGTTGCCGGGAATTGAACTCAGGACCTTTGGAAGAGCAGGCAATGCTCTTAACCACTGAGCCATCTTTCCAGCCCCCAGCCCAAGTTTTTTTGTTTTGTTATGAGACAGGGTCTCACTCTAACTCAGGCTGGCCTTGAGCTCACAGTAGTCCTCCTGACCTACCTCCCAACTACTGGGATTAGCTGTTAATCCCCTATGCCGGGAAAGTCTTAACATTTAAGAAATCTTGAACTTGGAAGATTGCTCAATGGGTAAAAGCACTTGCCACCAAACCTGGCAACCTGAGCTTGTTCCTGGGACCCACACAGTAGAAAGAATTGTCCTCAAACTTCCACGTGTGCACCGCAGTGTGGCATCTTGCACGTATGCATCACATATACACAAATAATAAATGTAACTTTAAAAACCTGTATAAGCCGGGCGTTGGTGGCGCACGCCTTTAATCCCAGCACTCGGGAGGCAGAGGCAGGCAGATCTCTGTGAGTTCAAGGCCAGCCTGGTCCACAAGAGCTAGTTCCAGGACAGGAACCAAAAGCTACAGAGAAACCCTGTCTTGAAAAATCCAAAAAAAAAAAAAACCTGTATAAATAGTAAAAAATAAATTATGTGGAGTTGAGGGTGTTGGGTGTTGCATGGTGTTTGCCTAATTTGGGGTTTAATCCCCAACACTGAAAAACAAGGCCATACATTTTTGTTTGTTTGTTTGTTTGTGTGATAATGACTGTGTAATGGCCCTAGCTGTCCTGGGTATTCATTTAGTGGGTTATGGAGGTGAAAGAGGAGAAGGGAGAAGAGCAGAGAGAGGCAGAAGCTGCCTCTTCGGGAGAGAGACACAGAAAGGAAGGAACTCAGGCTGGAAGTGCAAGGAAGATCTGCTAGCCTCAGTAGACGGGGAGGGAGTAGGTGGGGCTTGTCTCTTGAAGGGACAGGACAGACCACTACAGTTACCCTTATTGCTAGCATTTCTTAGCAATAAAGCATTCCTAATTGAGGCTGTGTATGTTGTCTTTTTATAATGCAATCCAATACTGACTATACTACAGAGCAGTGTAAATGTAACTTTTATACCCACTGAAAAACCAGAAAGTTGGTGTGGCTCACTATTGCAATGTTTGCTTAGATGCAGTCTGGAACCAGAACACAGCATCTCCAAAGTATGCCTGTACTTTACTTCCTTTAGTCCACTACTTGGACATTTGGGGGCTTCTATTTTTCACTGCTTTCATATTTCCATAAATATCTTCATACAGAAATCTTTTGCCAGTATCTATTTCCCTAGGATAGAAAACTATACTGATTCAAAGGTTTTAAAATCTCTTAAGTCCACCAGATTGCTTCCCACAAAGGTCAGGAAGATTTTGTTTCCGCAGTATGTGTTCAAGAGTACCCACCAGCCCACCAGCATTTACCTTTCTTTTTTTTTTTTTTAATATTTATTTATTTATTATGGATACAGTATTCTGTTTGCATATATGCCTGCTAGAAGAGGACACTGGACCTCATTACAGATGGTTGTGAGCCACCATGTGGTTGCTGGGAATCGAACTCGGGTCCTTTAGAAGAGCACGCAATGCTCTTAACCGCTGAGCCATCTCTCCAGCCCAGCATTTACCTTTCTTTAAAAAGCTTTGCCAATTTGACAGATGAAATGGAATCTCATTTTAATTTGCACTGGATTGATCGTGAGGTAGGAAATCTTTCCAAACGTCTGAACCCTTTGTAGTTCTTCTAGGACTGAAATTCCACTGCCTATGTTTGGACATGTGGTGGGCAAAGAACAGCGAGTGAATTGCTACAGGCTTGAGGACAGATAAGCAACAGAACCGCTTAATATAAAGGGTGTGGTCACACCAAGCCACCGTCAAATTGGTTTGTTTTTTTTTTTTTTTTTTAGAGACTGGGTTTCTCTGTGTACCTCTGGCTGTCCTTGAACTCACTCTGTAGACCAGGCTGCCCTTGAACTCACAGAGATCTGCCCACCTCTGCCTCTCAAGTGCTGGGATTAACAACACCTAGCCAGTGCTGTGCTGTGCCCTGTTAACAGCGAGTGGGGGAGAACTGAGCCATCATCTAGCAGGGCACTAGAGTGGACCATACTGTTGCCGTTGACAGTGCTGAGGTTTGGCGGGTGACTTGGTTACAGCCGTACGTCATTCCTGCTGTTAAATCAATGTGACCGATTTTGTTTTTCAGGGCTCTTTGCAAGGGTAGCTGGGTCGAATCTGCACAGAGGCAGCACCGGTCGTCACCGCAGTTCCATCTTTTCCACGATGTTGCCCTTAGCCAAAAACGCACTAAGCCGTCTCCAAGTTCGAAGTATTCAGCAAGTGGTGGCAAGATACAGCCATCAGAAGCAGACACCTAATTTCCACGACAAATATGGAAATGCTATATTAGCAGCTGGAGGCCTCTTCTGTATTTCTGCATGGACATATACAGCAACACAAATTGGAATAGAATGGAACCTGTCACCTGTTGGCAGAGTCACCCCCAAGGAATGGAGAGATCAGTAGTCATGCCAGCTGGTGCAATAATGAAGGAATTATTTCAAAACCAATCAATAAGGGATGCCAAGTCAAAGAATCATGTATTCCCTATAATATGGCATATTGAAGAAAAAATAAAGTACATTTGAAACCTTCAAAAAAAATTAATGTGCCAGATTGGAATTTCTCTTCATTTGCTAGTTTTATTTGTATTTAATTAACAAATTCGTTTTAGCTTTCACAGATGCATAATCTATAAATCTGAGTCCATTCCTTAGTTTTGTGTTTGTATATCCGTGCATGTGTGTGTGTGCAATTTTATGAAGGATATCTTAAGCCAACTCAAAGTACTTGTGAGAGTGCTTTTCCTTTATGAGAGATTCAAGCAACATTCAGTTTGAAAAACATTGTTATAGGAAGCTTGTCTCTTTTATGTTTCTGTAAACATAGGCATCAAGGGTTTAAAAGAAAGGGGAGTGTAATGTCCACTTAAGTATTAAAGTTTTCTACACATAATAATATTATTATTTTGTAGCCTATGGAAACTATAGCAGAAAGAACTATACTCTCTTTAGAATTCAGAGGATGTTTTGAGTTAGAACACACTATTTGTCAAAGTCAGCCTCCTATGGGTTGGTGAGATATAGAAGAATGTCTGCATTTATCCAGCTTGACCCTTCAGGACACAGGTAGTAAGTAGATAGTCACTGAGTAGACATTGTATGAAGGGCTGATCAAAGCCACCATGAGCTGTGGAAACCAGCAAGAGCTGACCACCTTGACACCCAGCAGTCAGGAAGGATGGAGACCTTGATACTGGTAGGCTGTTAGCTATCTCCAGCAAACTGCCTGGCCTCTGAAGGCAGAGGATGCCTCAAATCGGGAGTCCTGCAGGTCCAGTCCTGGCTGGAGCACAGAGGGCATGACATCACTCTATATGGGCTAAGATGGCGAGATGTCAGTATACATTTGTAATATGTATAGGACGTATTGCAGACAGCAAGGGTGAGCCCTTTGTAAGCTATAAACTTGTGATACGATATTCAGCTGTCGTAACAAGCGTGCTGCTCTTGAAAGGGGGAGGCTGGATATATGGGACACAGGCAGGAAATATACAGCCTGTCTATGAACCTTCCTCACAATCTCACTGTGAACCTAAAACTGCTTTGTAAAAACTTCTATTTAAAAGCCAGGCAGTGGTAGCACACACCTTTAATCCCATCAATTGGAGGCAGAGGCAGATGGATCTCTTTTGAGGCCAGCCTGGTCTACAGAACAAGTTCCAGGGCTACACAAAGAAATCCTGTGTCAAAAAAAAGAAAAAAGAAATTCTATTGAAATAAAAAGAATAAATAAAGCCAAGTACACAGGTTCTTAGTTGATTCAAACATCCAAGTGGGCCCGACAAGTGAAACTGTTGATAAAGTAGCCAAGCCAGTACACACAACATTGGAGTGTTCTCTCTGCCTGGGTCATTCTCCAAAGTAACCATATGGCTCACTTCCTCTCCTGCTCAGGGCTTTGTTCAGGTGTCTTTGAGATTGTCTAAGCAGTCAATACAAAAAAGATGGGAACAGTCATCCTCCTCCATCCAGGTCTCTGGGACTCAAACCATTCCACCTGGTGGCAGTCTCAGAACACAGGGCCTCAGAGTTCTCCACAGAGGAAGAAGAAAGCCCACACTAGCTGCGAATTGCTTTGGACTGTAAGAGGGATGTGTTCATTCTGCTTAGCCTCTAGGCTAACACCAGCCACCTGACCCTACTGCAGAGGAAGCCAGGGAACACGAACAGAATAGAGCCGAGACTCGACTCATTGTGCCACTGCCAGCATCGAGGACAGCCCAGTACGTGACAGGAATTCCAGAAGTGGTTTTTGGGGGGGTTGTTTGTTTGTTTGTTTTTCGAGACAAGGTTTCTTAGTAGCTATGGAATTCAAACTATAGACTAGGTTGTCCTTGAACTCACAGAGGTCCGCCTGCTGGGATTAAACACGAGCACCACCGCCACCCAGCATAAATGGGTCAGGGCTGGAGTGATGATGCTTCAGCACTGGATAAACCTCTCCAACCAGAGTAATAATCCGAGTCAGACCGAATCAAACCGAATTAGAAAAGGCCCAGGTTTAATGGAGCCCAATGCCAAATGGCTTTCCAGCCCCTCAGAGAGGAGATGGGAAAGAAAGACCAGAAAACCAGGCGTTAGTTCTCTGGAAGGCAGTTTAAATACCCTGTGGGAGTGGTATCTCTGGGGATGGGTCATCATTTGGCAGCTTTCTCGGGGGCAGAATCTGGACAAGGCAACTCCCAGGGGAGGGGACTTGGGATGGAACTTCCACCCGAACATTCCAGACTCTTTGTATCTATGGATGCCAGTGGCTGGGGTGACGCTTCCACCCAAACAGTTCAACAGTTAAGAGTAATTACTGCTCTTGCAGAGGACCTGGGTTTGATTTCCAGCACTCATATGGCAACTCCAGTTCCTCACAACTGCCTGCTACTCCAGTTCCATTGGATCTGATGCGCTCTCTCTCTCTCTCTCTCTCTCTCTCTCTCTCTCTCTCTCTCTGTGTGTGTGTGTGTGTGTGTGTGTGTGTGTGTGTGTGTTTGTTTTGTTTTTGAAGACAGAATTTCTCTGTACACCTCTGGCTATCCTGGAACTGGCTCTGTAGACCAGGCTGGCCTTGAACTCACAGAGATCCTGCTGCCTCTGCCTCCCAAATACTGGGATTAAAGGTGTGCGCCACCACTGCCCGACTGGAATTCCAGGAATGTTTATGAAGCCAATTAACAAATTCTGCAGTAGCAGTCTGTATTCGTGGGGGGGGGGGGGAGAGGAAGTATGACTTCCTGAAGTAGGATTAAGATAATGAAGACTCTTCCTGACAACATACCCAACAGTTTATTGAATGCTTATTATGTACAAGACACCGTGCTTGATGGCAGGAACACATAGGAATGAGAATTAATTCCTGATACCTAGTCAGGAATACAACACTAACATATGCAATATTTACCAAACCCATAGTAGAAATAAGCTATGGGAGCCCCAAAGGCCAAATTCTCCTGCGTTTTTAGTAAGAATGAGATTTTATATCTGAACACTGTTGGCATGACAGGCGTAAGGCTCTTGGTTAGGAATGGCTTCCTGCAGTCCCGGAAGGGGGGGTCTAGATCCCAGTGTCAAGCTGCCTTCGTGTTTCTCGTTCTCCCATTGATTCTAGCACGTCCCTCACTCCCCTTCCACTCAGCACAGAGTAGGCTGCAGCCCTGGACTCTTACCCGAAACTAAGGTTGCTCGAGTATTTTAAGAATTTTCCCTTCTAGTAAATTTCAAAAATCTGCTGGTTTTTCCCCCTGCCCCACCCATACTCCCCTACTCCTTTGAACTCTGCCAGAACTCGGTGACAGAAAGAGGCAGGAATAGGGAGCTCTGGGCCATTGAAGCTCAAAGGCAGGGGTGGTAGAGGATTGGGAATTAGACAAGGAAAATGCCAAGGTAAAGGTGGACCATAATATGGACACGAAAGGTAAACCTGACCAGACTCACCACTCTGCTTGGAGATGGCTTCGTGTGCATAAAAACCACATTACCTCTTTAACACAAAAACATGAAAAGTTACAGTCAGCTAAGAAAAAGTCCAAAATGATAGCAATGTTCCCTCGGGTTGGGAACAAACTCCTCAAGCTCACCATCCTTCCATGTAGGGCCTTTGTGAAATCAATTCCATAGCTCAAGAAGTCTATTCCAACCATTTGTCTATCTTCTAGTTGGCAAGAAAGAGCAAAGTTCTCGTGTGGCGGGTCAAACCTAGAGGCTGGCATTGCCCTGCAGCTCCTTCTGGTCAGGGATCCAGGCGCCGCGGCGTGACTGGGCCCCCTGACTCAGGCTTTCTCACAAGCCAGCAACCGAGGTGTCAGCCCAGCTGCTCAAGGTGGGAAGCCTCTGTTCCCAGGACGCCCAGTTTCTAGCGACACCCTGCTTGCTGCAAGCTGGTGGACAGAGACGCACTCTGATCCTCACGGCACGGGTGTCTTCATAAACCAACTCATTACATGGCAGCTTCATCCGAGCAGGCAGAAAGAACCAGCAAGGCCGTGAGTGAGACAAGCCAGAGCCTCATGAAAGCTGGTCTCGGAAGTGACTCCCCCCATTGTTTCCTGCTACATCTGTTCATTCAAAACACTAGCTCGGCCCACACTCAAAGGGCAATCACACAGGACTGCTGTCCAGAAAGCAGAGTCTCTGCAGTCTTATTTGGGTTTGTTTATTTATTTGGTATGTGTTTGTGGAAGCCTATGTGAATGCAGGTGCCCAGATGTTGTGGCTGTCGGAGAGCTGGTCTTCTGCCATCTCATGGGTACAGGCTGCTGGTCTGCACACATAAACACCTCTACCCCCTGAGCCATCCATCTTACCAGCCCCCCGAGAAACCATTCCAGAAGCTGTTAGCAGCAGAAGGTCTGCCTGCTCCTTTCTAAGACTCTTCCTAAAATTTTACACACCAAGCCTGCTGGCTTGCTATTGGCCCACATTTAGCTTCAAGGTAGGCTGGGAAATGGAGTATTCTGATGGCCAGTGGGCCCATCTAAAATTGAAAGCTTGAGTCATGGAGATGGCTCCGTCAGCAAAGTGCCTGTCTTTCAGGCATGCGAGCTTGAATTCAATCCCAGAACCCAGTTTTTTTAAAGCTGCACACATGGTGATATGTGCCTGCAATTCCAGTTTGAGGCTCTCTGGCCAGCCAGCCTGTCCTACTTGGTGAGTTCAAGGCTAGTGAGAGAGCCTGTCTCAAAAATAAGGTAGACATTGTTTCTGAAGAATGATATCCACTGACCTCTGTGGTACATCTTGAATGCAGTAGGGCCTCACCTGGAGAAATGGCTGTCAAAGGCCCGGAGAGATTACTCAGTAGATAAGACACTTGCCTGAGTTTGGATCTCTGTCGCCCATGTAAAAACTGGGTGTTGGTAAAATCCCTAAGGAGGCCAAGTCGGGGGATCTTCAGGCCTAAACTAACTGAAATGGCCAGGTAGGAGAAACCCTACCTCAGGCACAGATATCAATCTTGGGCCTCCACATGCATGCACAGACACATACATGCAACACACACACACACACACACTCCGGCAAGTCTGTGACCCCAGGCTGTGACAACCAATGAG